TCAGCTTGGGCACAGCTCACTGGCCCATGTGGGAATCGAACTGGCGACCCTGTTGCTCAGAGCTTGCACTCTTAATCAACTGAGCCACTTGGCTGGACCCCAGATTTTTCTTTATGTCATATTTTTATTGGGTAAATCCCAGAAGTTGTGTATTTGGATCAATCTGGTGCCTAGTACATACGAGTAGGTCTCTATTAGTCAGGTAAGCTGGGTTATGCGACAGTAACAATTATATACTCCAGAATCTCATTTATTTTACAACAACCAAAACCCCTTATATTTCAATGGCTTAACATATGAATGTTTATTTCTCACTCATACCAATTCTTCTGTGTGTATCAAGGCTCTTGAGGGTAGTTGCCTTCAAAGAGGTGACTGAGGGATTCAGATTCCAACTTGACCTCCATGACTGATGTGGTAGAGAAAGAAATGATGGTTGTCCAGGGAATTTTTACTACCTCAGCTTGTCAACTGCACTAGTCATGTGTTTCCACCCAACTGTAGTGGGTACTGGGAAATGTATCTTCTGTGCATCCAGTATGAAAAAGAGCATCACTATTGGTGAGCATTGAGGTCTACTCCAGTGGAGTGGCTTTGTACTAAGTCAATGTAGCTTAGCTGGAACTACATTTCCCAGAACCCCCTTTCTCATAGGGGTTACATGTTAATTTTGACCACAGAAGACGTTTTCAAGACATTTGAAAGGTAAGGATGAAACAACAGCCACCAAGTTGAGAAGAAGTAGGTAACAGGCACCACTGCAGCTCACAGCCTGATCTGCTGTCACCTGGTTGGTGAGGGGCAGTGGCCAGCCTGCAGTCCTCCAGCCCCTATCAGACCTCCCGCTTCAGCTTCTCTGAGTCCTGGGTCAGATGTACATGCAAATTCATGGTGAAGGGCACCCGCTTCTTTTTTAGGTCAAATGGGCTATGGAGTTTGGAGATGATGAGAGCTAGATGCAAATTTGTTTGTCTTCGTGGGTTCTAGTTTGTCCTTGCTCTTCCCTGCTTCACACCCAGCTTTTCTTCCTGACTGCCAGCCCCACTGACTTAGAGTGAGTTCAGACCCACCACCAGATGCACAAGTGCCAGCCTTCATAGGGTTCTTCACCAGTTCTTCACTATGACTGCATGTCAAATCCTTGAAACAGATATTCCAGTCGACGTTACCCACCATCATTTTGCTTCTCTGATAAAATCCAATTGATATAAAATACATTAACAATTTTTAATAAAGCTGGGTCTAATTTTAAGGTATTGTCTTCCCAGAATTTTTATTTAAATATACTGCTCAGAAGACCAGGATCACAAAGAAACATTTGATCCAAGTTGAAAGAGAAAGAATAGGTTATGGCATATAGAAAGACAGATACAAGTGTCCAAAGTGAAGACAACTATAAAAAGAGAACAGGGAACAGCCTCAGAAGCAGCTTTTTTTCTAAGCAAATAGATTTTGGGGGAGGAGAACTTTGGAAGGTGGTGCTGCAGTGGATTGCAGAGAACATCCACACCTGTATCCATAGCTGTGAGGAGGGCCACTCTATCTGCAGCTGACTTTACACCCAAGTTGAAAGGGAACAGGCTTCTTTAGGGGAAAATCCACACTGAAGTGTAAAACCCAGAATTTTTGGTTAAATTGAGTCAAACTGAGGCCAACAACTAATCTGTGTTCCTATAAATTTTCTATCTGCCTAAAGTTGGGCTTCTGTGTTTCTTTGTTTGCCCTGTAGCTGACGTCACGTGATGTGCCGGAACCTCTACTGTCGAGGAGGGGCATAGGAGAGGCTAGAAAGCACACTGATTTCTGGCCTGTGGCTATGCCCTGAAGACTAGGCCTCCTGAGACTCAAAGTATCAGCTGACCAGTCAAAGGCAGGGTGATATGCAGATGTCCATCAGTCCCGTCCACATGCATACGCCTGCCCTTTGTGCCAACTACTCTCACTGGAAGAGGAACTTATCATCCAGTTTGCCTCCCCCAACCTTTCCTCTGAGTCCCAACAAAACAAAACAATTCTTGCCACACAACTTAAAGGAACTATGGCACACTGCATTGGAAAAAGCCCACATGAGCAAAGAATTCTATTCGTGGTTTGCATGTGATTCATGCAACTGATTTTGATTTCAGCTGCCACATGCTTCGTTCTTTTCTGAGGGGAACTACCATTTGAAGTGCTGGGCATTAAGAACCAGGGACTCTTAGATGACCAAATGACCTGTGCCCACTGAGACCATGCTGAGTATCAGATACAATGTAGATATACCGATAGTTGTTGGCCAATTGAAGATTTAGCCAATTTCCAATAAATGCTGGGCAAATGGTCCATTGGAATTAGCTCATCAGTGTAGTTCAAGTCACCAAATATTTGTCCCTCCTGCATCACTATGTAAAATAGCACTCATAATCACTTTCACACCAATAGATATATTATTTAGAAACATGGTAAAAAATGAATAAAGCATGCAAGAAGTTATACATATCCAATTTTATTAATAATAATTTATAAATTATACTTATCTGGCCTTGACATATTATATTGGAATCATGTTTTTCAGGCAAATATAGTAATCCTCTACTGCAGGAAAATAGTCTGTTGGTGATATGAGAAGTCCTGGTATGATAATTTTATAAATTATTCAAGCCTGCCAGTTCAGAGATGATGCCTGAATTTGTTTTCAGATTTCTAAAGTTTCACATCATTTTAGCTTCTCTGCTTGGTTTTGGTATTGTGTATTTTCTTCTAGTAGATGAAATAGCTTTACAAAGAATTATTTCAGAGACAGCAAATTTGGGACTAGAGGGCCTCAACTGGCCTCAGGGATTTTCTAAAAACTGAAATTAGTTGTCAAATTTTGCAAATATAATAGAAAGCTCATTGTGACCTCCCCACTCCTTTTGTATGGTGTGCACTCCACGATTTCATCCGTTTTAGTGACTTGCCTGGCTCCTGTATATATCTGTGTTTATTTCAGGTGCTGGCTCCACTCTGTTTTGCACAATATGACTGCATACTCATCATCAACAGAAAAATTTCAATATGCAAGAAAATAAACCCTTTTCTAAAGGAACTTTTTAAGGGGTAAAAAATATGATAAATTGTACATGTATACAATTTATTTATTAATATTATGGTCTTATATGATACAAATATTTTTTCATTAAAAATATTATTTAGGAAATGCACTTTCATTAAACTCTTGGGCCTCAGAATGGACCATGTAGGGGGAATAAAATTCTTTTGAAACTAAAAATTATATTCAGCAGAAACTGATACTTTCAACCTAATGTGAATTTTAATAACTAAATAGTAAAACATTTTCCTTAACATAAAAATCCAGCATGATTGTATTTAATATGACTAAATAAATATAAGAACATTAATTTATACTCGCCTATGTCAAATATTCCAGTTGCATTACAAACATATACATAACAAATGTAACTTTTTATATCAGATGTCAAATTTCTGCATTATTATCTTCTCTGTCATGAATTTGAAAGCCTGCACAATGCCCTTTTTGGTTTGCTTGTTTTTGTTCATTTTGCCTTATAATCTCTAAGTATTTAGGCAGGAAAAAAAGAGAAGCATAACTTAGAAATAGTTCAGTTTTGAACAACTAAGCATCTTGTTAGTTGCAATCACTTTTGGCTATTTCCCATAGGAGACAACACGCTATGAAATGGTGAGCTACCACTAAAAATGGTGGGAAAGGTTAGGCCATTTCTTGATAACAGTTTATATATATATATATATATATATATATATATATATATATATATCTCCAATGGCTTATTCCCTATAAAAAAGAACTACCACAGCATCAGAAAAGACAAGACAGTTTATCATCTAAAAGATAGGTTGCTTTCATCTGTACAAATTAACCTATTTTCTTGATAGTCAGATATCAAAAACATTTTATAATATTTCATGCTGAAACAGAGATGGGTTCCTCTACTGGAATATGGTCAACATTGACCACTTTTCTCTTTTTTTACCTACCCACAAAACTTTCTTCCTAATTAAAATATTTTAAAGTGCCTTTTCATCTAATACTGTTACAACAATGATGATCTTGGATTAAAACAATGGCTGCCTTGGTCTACTTTGAACTTGGTGAAGCCATTTTAAAAAATCATATATGTGATATGGTTTAAAGTTTTAATGAAGAATTAAGGGTAATTGAGTGACTGTGGAATTTCTCATGTATATTTTGAATGCCTACTGGGTTCAAAATTCCATGTTGCATGCAGATATATATCCCAATTTCTTCATCTCATTGGATCATGGTCCTTCAGCAACTGATCAGGAAAAAGACTATCACGTCAGAGTGAAAAATTCTTAACTTGGGGAGGGACTGGAAATGGGGATGGGATATCAGTAGATTCAGCTCAAAAATTTGTTGCTCTGGGTTTCAACAGTTTCACTCCAAGCCTACATTTTAACAGTATGTAGAAGAAGGATTGGTTCAGGCATCCTTTATAATCTACTTAGATCACAAGTTGAGAATTTGAGGAGCCAATAGCTGAAACTATATTAAAACAACCCAGAAGTTTTAAAAATGGTCAAAGCAACCTTGTCTAGACTTTAAACCTTGGTGGCAATAACTTGAGAATTTAAAGTCTCTGGAGACAATTTTTGTCCCTGTGGGGGCAGGGGCCAGAAGGTCAACTTGCAAAGCATCTCCCAGAGTCTGGTGTCATGAGCCTTGCTCCCTTGCCACACAGTGGGTATCCTAACCCTTTTCATTATCCAAATTTTGTTTTAACACTCTAAAAGCATCGTCTAAGAATAATATGAGGATGGCAGGTTATTTTCTCCCTCCACAAATTCTGGTTGCATAATTTAACATAAAAACAATTTGGGGAAGAGATTATTATCTTTCTGCATTTCGAAAAGCTCTAAAAAGCTCTCACTGATAAGGTTTAAAATATGCAATTGATATGCTGCATTTTCTTGAGTATTCAATAAATGTCTTAAAATTTTTTCTTAAGCCCAGCAAACATGAATCAAATAGCTTTTATTCCATATTTATAAAAGGCAATGCCACCATCGTAGGTTTCTCAATATTTCCTGTCATCTTTAAGCATTTTCATTTATTAATCTTAATATATTTTAATAGCACACATATGTTCTCAAAAACACTCTTCGTCCCTGGGGCTTACTGTTAGCTGTTTCTTCCCCAAACCTTTTAAAATCTTAGCCTGTACATAACTTAAAACACGCTTCTAACAAGTTATATGAAAATCTCCTTTTGTGCTCTCTATTGACAGAACTGCTCTGAACCTGGGAGAAAGCAATGACATGCCAGTTGTGTTGTCGTCAGCGTGAGGGGCAGAAGCTCCACAGCACTAGCTCCTAGAGCTCTAAATCCATTGTGGTGCATGTTATAAATCAGGAAATTGCCCTGTGACAGCTACGGTTTGGAAGCATTAACATTTTTCCTTGCCACTTTCATTTTTAATCTTTCAGTTATTTTCTTTAGTAAAACTTAGCCACCCAACTATGACTTCCTGTATCACTGACCTATATGCCATCATTAAAAGAAAGAAATTCCAGCCAACCATGACAAAGGTTGCAGTCAGCATTTAAGACAAAACTGACTCTTATCGATTTAGCAAAAGGTAGTTCTCTCCCTGCACTGCCCCTCTTTCCACCCTGCCCCTCCCTGCCCTCTCCGTCCGTTTGAGCAAGCTGCCGCACGCTGCATTCAGAATGCGTGCTGTGTGCTTCCTAGTGGCTGCATTTTAAGTTTGGTCTTCTCAACCATGAAAACACAGTTATAAATTGTTCTCAGAGTTAAACCACTCAACATCTTGGCACTTGGCTGTTTTTAACTTTTCAACAATAGGCACTGTTCACTCCCCTCTGTCTCAGTTCTTTATTCAGTGATCAGGCAGGACACTGATGAAAGGCTAGTCACGGCTTTCCCCCATGGTGTCAGTGTGGTGGCATGTGATGGTTCACATGGGGTGTGTTTGATCCGAGAAAGCCCAGTCTCTGCTTATTCTTCCTTTGTTCTGTCATCTGGGGGAAAAGAGAGAGAGTGTGTTGAGCTGATTTCCTCACTGTTTCCCAGTGCTGGTGGGCCACACGGCTTGGGGTTAACATTTCCCAACACCTACAGTCTGTCTGGCATCATATAGGATATATTTATCCGAAAAAGGGAAAATATTTTTAAGTGAATTTCCATAAACAGAGAAAAAAAGCACACCCCTCTCTGTGGTTAAGAAACAGGAACCACGGTTCTTTTAAAGCAGCCCTTGCTTGTCACATAATCATCATCATCACCGTAGTCATTTTAACAGCTACCACAGTTACTTTTGATATTATTTTTACAGATGCTAACAATTTTACATGATGAAGGGGTTGATTATAGCATGGAAATGACAGATACTAATGATGATATGCCTTTCCAATGAATTTAGTAATTACTATGATGGTAGAAAATATGATTTCTTTAACCAAAAAGTGCAAAGAGGTCTTTGTATTTTGGCATTTGTGCCTTCTTTCCCCCTTCCACAGGAGGAGAGGCGTCACACAAGATGGGAAGTAGAAGCCTCTGCTGGCTGAGATGTGGTGCTTACAGCACAAGGTGAGGTTTCTTTATTGGAAGTTACAAGTCTCTGTGGGTCACAATACTGCCCCCGGGAGACTCTGGGGCTCCCCTCGCTCAAGGTCATGAACGATCCCACCCTACCCAGCTTCGTCTACCCGAGCTCACTGACCTGCTCCTTGAGCTCTGCCAGCTGACCCGACAGCTGCTTGACCAGACTCATGGTCGACTCCAACTTCTCCTGGAGGTTCCGAATCTCATTTTGCTCACTGTCACCTTCATTGCTAACAAGGGACATGGCTCGCATCCGAGGAAACCAGTCCAAATTCTTCTCCTAAAAGCAAATACATGTTCAGGAACAAGGGAGTTAAGTATGGAAGGGAGCCTGAAGTTCTTTCTGGAAGGAATGTTTATAGATGTTCATTATTATTAACATTTAAATCAATGTTCCTTAGCACTCAAGCAAGCAAAAGGAATTCTTCCTGGCCAGGGGTGGGGAGGGGCTGAGGGTAGGAATCAAGTGGGAGTTACACATTGATCTTCATGAGCTGGGGGAAGATCTTAAATATCAGAAGACACTTCCTATGGGCTCCCAGGGAGGTCCCAGGTAGAGCATTTAGAACAGCGTCATGAACCCTGCAGGCATTCCGTGAATCTTGATGAATGATGCCATAGGGTCTGGAGGCTGGAGAGAGCAGATCCAAGTGTGGGTGGATACAGCATAGGCATGGGCTGTTTCTCCTTGCCCCTGGCACAAAAGAGAACAGGGTGGAGGAACAGGAGAGTGGTAAAAGAAATGCTTCAGTTCCAGCCCACACTAGTTTACCTCCCACTTCCCCAAGACAGGCTCTGAGCTGGGCTCAGGGAACAGGGAAGTGGGAGGACATGGCCCTAGGTTACTCTGTCTGCTCCCTTTGGAAACATTTTATTACAGTGGGGGTGAGGTTTCAGAGTTAGACTTCCCCAGAGGGCAATAGCTGGTAACACTTCTGTTTTTCTAGGTGAACTGGGCATAGGGGTGTGTGTGTATGTGTGTGTGTGTGTGTGTGTGTGTGTGTGTGTACACACGCATGCGCACTTCCCCTCCATTGTAGTAGAGCTAGAGGGTTAACCTGATACCCAGCTCTCTTGGAAACTCTTCCTGATGGCCTAACACCATAGAATCACCGTGCGTTACTTATATCACATTTTCAATCCTTAAAAAAGCTTGCAAGGTAAATTATATTGTCCCCATTTTGTAGATGAGGAAATAAGTGGTCCCAACAGTTTAATTACCCATGTCACAAGCTAGGAGATGGGAGAGCTAGGATTTGAAGCCAGGTGAGTCTTTCTACCACTGATTGGGTATGCCAGTCTGTATCCCTATTTACGTATCTATTTCTCTAAGTCTTCATCTTCCAACATCCTCAGTAGTGACTTTCCTGCTTAAGATTCTTTCCATTCTAGAAAAGCCCACTGCAGTGGCTACAAAGATTTCTACTTGGTGACCCCTGGAATGAGAGTCAACACAGTACTTTCTCCCCTAAGGTCCGGTGGAAAGGCCCAATCCATGGATCTCTGTGCTTTTGTCACAATCTTATCTAGCTCTTGGGGTGCTGTCGTTGTTTTATTTTGGTTTGGTTTTTTGGTAGTTGTTGTCTAGTCTGAGAATAACAAGCTCTTTATCATTCCCTACCCCCAACGGCAATGAAAAGGGCTGACAAAGGATTCAGGATAAAACATATTAAAGAGTTTTAAACTGCATTTAAACAGCTGTAGCTAATTAGCCTTTCAATGGAGAATAATATTGTATTCCTAAGTGCCGAGTGACAGCCGGATTCATTCATTCACTCAATCCTTCAACATCTATTGCCAGGTATTTAGAGATGAAAATCAGTAAGACAAGGTTTCTGTTCTCTAGGAGCTTGTGGCTTAGCATAGCCTTCTGAGAAAAGTGGACTGTGCGTGGTGTATATCAAAATCCCTTGGGGTTGCTCATTAAAACTGCAGATTTCAGACCCACCACCACTTTCCAAAGCAGAACCTGCTGGGGGTCGTGCCTGATTCCAACGTGCACTAAAGTTTAAGAACTCTGGTCTACAGAGACAGAGAAGATAAATGGTAACCGTTGGGATGGTGGCAGGGGAGCGAGATGGAGCAAAGAAGTGCGGAAATGACTGGGATGGGAAATGGGCAGCCACACAGGGGCCGTTAAACACCTGCAGGGCAGGATGGATGGTGCAGCCTTGTCGTGATCCCGGCAAAGACCACTGTTCACCAACCACCCAGGTGGATGTGCAGCTGAGACAGAGAGCTGGACTGATAGAGGATGGTGCGTCTCCTGCAGCGGACACCAGAAAGACAAAGGTGTAGGGAAGCTGGGGGTGTCAGCAAAGCCACGGTTCAAGGAGAGACTCGAGTGTGGGGACGGGTGGGAAAGAAAGCTGGGGAAGAGCTGACCTGCGCTAAAGGCTCTACAAGCACTGAATCCTTTCGACAGCCCAGTGAGCTTCCATTCGCTTATCCCTTTAAGTATCGGAATTATCTACAGTCTTCTCTATTATCTGAATTGTACAAATGAAGAAACCGAGGCTGGGAAAGGGTTTAGCTGGGATCCCACCCCAGGCCTGTCAGCGTCGAAGTCGCTTGGCAAGACCGGAGAGTGGAAAAACAAAACTTAAAAATTCTGAAGGTAGAACAACTTCATGAAACGAAAATTGTAGGATGACAGTACTTTAAATCTGGTAAAAATATTGGTAAATTTGGGGAGTTAACATTTAATGGGTACAGAGTTTTCGTTGGGGGCGATGAAAATTCTCTGCAGATGGATGGTGGTGATGGTTATATAACAATGTGAACGTACTTAATGCCATAAAACTATATAATTAATATAGTAAAAATGGTAAATTTTATGCTATGTATATTTTACTAGAATTTTTTTTAAAAATCACTGAATTTACAGAGGCTAATCTTTTGGATGAATCATGCACAAAGTCCGTGAATTCATCCTGAAGGAGGTCAGTAGTTGGGATGCATGAGGAGTCTGTGGGTGGCCATGGGCTGAAATCTGTGCTGAATGTACAGGGGCGGCCAGGAAGTATTAAAGGATGGTGCTGGGAAAGGTTTGAAAAATGGATTTTCATGTGAGGGTGAAGATGCGATGATGTCAGTAATGGGAAGCTAAGTGTGCTGCCCCTCTTCTAGGGCCCTTAGTCCCGAGTTGTTGGGAACACAGGCAACTGCTACCAGCCGGCTCTCCTCTTGGGAGAGCCGAGAAGGTAGAGTTTGGGGAGAGAAGAGTTGGTCTGTACCAGGACAGACTCCAGGTGCTGCTGCAACAGAAGGGTTTGGGAGCTTCAGCCAGCTGGGCCTGGGAAAAGAAGCTACCAGGTGATATGGTGATACCCAAGGTGTGAATGGTGAACACATCAACTTTCAGAAAGTTTCCCAAGTAAACAGAGGCCAAACATTGTTCTAATGCTTAACAGATTGCAACTCGGCTACAGAGAACATGGGTGCAACTGCCTCCAAAGAAATGCTACTACAGGTTTCCCAAGGGCTGGGATCAGCCCAGGCCATGGTCTCTGGCTTTTGAGGAAACAATGGCCACTCTCAGGGGACCATCACCCCAGCCTTTGGGCCACAGGACTCTTTTTCCCTGTGCATTCTTTCTTCCCTTGTTCCTTTGTTCATCCATTCATTTACTGATTCTTACTGTGTTTACTATGTCTGTGCTAGGCACTGGGAAAACAATAGTGAGCAAACCCTGGCACAATTTTTGTGCTCACGGAATTGACAGTCTACGTGGAGAGAAAGCTTCAACCAAAGGATGATGAAAATGACCTGTGCTTAAGGGCTGTGTGGGAAAGCTACAGGCTCTGCTGTCCTTTCTCTTAGTCCCTAAACATCATTTTCTTCTAATTCACATTTGGTTTTTCTCATTTTTCTTTCTTTCATTGCTTGGTATCATTGTGCTTGTAACTCAGTCTTTTCTCTCCTCCTTTTGTGTTTTTTTTGTCAAATCAATTGACCATAATCTGAAAACTAAAATATATATAATGTATAATTATAATTTTTTCAATATTGAATGTTTTATGATTCCTTTTCTTAATTTTTAAGGAACTTGATTTTAATGTCTTACGTCTCTCACCAAAATGGAAAAAAAAATAACCAACCTAGATTGTTTTTGTTCCTCTTTTTACAAATAAAACCGGTCTTTTAAAACTAACTTACACAACTGATGTTTCTTCAAATTAGTGCAGAAAGTACATTCTTTTCACCAAAATTAACTCATATACAAGTGTTCTTAGAATAAGTGCTGCATACGCTTTTTCATTGAAAGTGGCCTCCCAATTAAATACCCCAAGGTTCCTCTCTCTGCGCTCATGGCACCAATGGAAGGCTCAGCCTGAGTAGGGTGAGAAAGTTGAGACCTGGACTTGAGTCTAAGCCAGAACCGCAGGCCAGACACACAGAACAGTGACCGGTGAACAGGACACCACTTCCTCACCACATTGACTTGTAACGTGTCTGCCATCTAACAAAGCAGTTTGATCTGACTTGTTATTTCTTGGTTACTCATATATGCTGTGTATATCTTGTGATCATACACATGATTAGTAGATTCTCATGTTGACTCCAATTAGTCAATATGAAATCATTTCCTTATTTCACCAGGAATGAAAATGTTTGACCACATGGTAATATAAAGTCAGGGAAGTTGCAGATTAACTGTTTGACTCTGAGGTCACAGTATATGATCCTAGTGACTTGGTGAGTGGAAATTAATTCAGAGCTTCTCAAGGTTTCTAAAATGCAAAGCCCCGAGATGAACTAGTCATGTCTCTGAAAAGGGACACACAGAACATGCTACTCATAACCCTCTTACTACCCTTAAATTCTAATAATAGTAATGTATCTAGATGATCAATAGATAGAAATGTAAACATCTTTCTTTTCTTTTCTTTTTTTTTTAAATTGGGGAATTGGGGAAAGGGGAACAGACAAGTTGCTGTCCTTTTGTTCTTCAGTCTAGTTGTGGAGGATGTTGCTTCACTGGCCCTAATTGACACCATCATTGCGCTCTTCCTGGGCGAGGCAGATCAGTCTCCGGCTTCTGGACGGCCGCTCATGGCGGCTGCTGGCCACTCACGTTGGCTGCTGGTTACATATGGTAGCCCATGGCAACCCACTGCAGCAGGGGCTGCAGCCTACGCCGTCACTGGCAACTCACGGCAGCCCAGCTCCAGGTTGAGCTGTTGTTCAGCATCCCAGCTGCGGAGGGCAGTGTCACTGGCCCTCATATGTGGGATCCGAACCAGGGCCCTCTGGCGTTCCAAGCCAGCTCTTAACCAA